GGGCCTCTGCCCCACTCGTAATCCCTAATATCTCCTTCCTTATATGGGCCACCTCTAGACCTGGAAACATTGCAAATAAAAATAAAAAGTAGAACAACTCAAAGAAAAAAAATGCTAAGAGTGAAATGACCTAAAATAATCACCACCGGTCTCAGGGCGTTTTAACTCAAGCAAGAGGAGGGGTTCGCTGGAGAGCGTCCTCACTGTGTGCCGGGACACGTCGAAACCCCGATACCACGTTGATTAGACAGCCATACCTGGGGGAGAGGAGGGGCGAGGGGGTCACAACCCTGAGAGCTGAGGAGGAGGAATTTAGGGAGGCCACCCCCTCCCGGGGCCTCTCCCTTCCCCAGACAAGGCCTCCTTGCCTTCAGTGTCTGTCTTCCACGACTTCCCCGAACGGCCTCAGCTTCCTTCGTCTCTACGTCTTCATGCTTCTGTCCTTTCCTCTGTAGAATGGGGTGATGATAGTGCCTACAAAATGAAGTCATGCGGGTCAAATGCTTAGAGCCGCTTGGTACCCTGTAAACACAAGGGGAGCGCGTGTCTGTATCATGGTCATTTTTATCGCTAGGAGGGCTATTCTACCATTTCTACTACTGGCTGTTCATTTTCCCACCTGCCCGCCCATAGGTGAGTTGGCTTTTCTCTTTCTTACTCTTTTTCTTTCTTTCTTTCTCTTTCTTCCCCAACAGGTGAGTGTTCTCATCTGATCCTGCTGTTCTGAAGCCTCCTGGTTGTCCGACTTTGGGATTCTCTGAGTTATGCATACTCCTTAGAAGCTTCTAGGAGACAATTGCCCTTCTCGATCCCGGGGCCGGGGCCCTTGGCAAGACTTTTTCCTGGGCCCCCATTGCCTACCTCTGCTCTTTGTGCAGGGCCCACCGTCAGGGGTTCGCTGTCCTCTAACCCGGGTTTGGCGGCAGCCAGCACTTAGTGCTGCTGAGCAGCCTCTTGGAGAATCACTCACATCCATGAAAAGCACTCAGTGAAAAGATGCCCAAACTGCTGAGAAAATCAGGGTCCATCAGTATCAGAGCATTGAGCGTCTGCGTGGGAGCGCTGAAAGGCTGTCACAGAAGAGAAAGCCCCCAAGAGCCTATTGTCCCCTCGCCCTGCTGTCCTGGTCTGTCAGCTGTCTACTCTCTCGACTCCTGACAGTGGCTTTCTGAAACCCTAATGACAAACATGTAACCTTCAGAGGATATCTCTGGTGGTTTGCCTCGCCTCTGCCGCACCCTGTCACCAATCGGGGCCTCCCTTGGGGCTAGGGGACGAGGCTGCTGGAGAAAGTTCAGGGGACTGAACTGCTGCCAGGTCACCTGGCTGAGGATTGGCCCCGAGTCTGCCTCTTCTGGATGCCACTCACAAGGCGGACTGAGGGCTGAGCAGAGAGGGTGGAAAAGGCCAGAGGCTGGAGATGTTCCAGGGGACAGGAAGAATGTGTTCACCTCCTGTCAGGATTCCCGTTTCCAGGAGATTCCAGTCCCACCAGGACAAACCACGGAAGGAGCTTTTGCCTCCCTGAAGTGGTGATGGTCCCTGGCATTGCTGCCTCTGACTACCTGTGCGGCCTTGAGCGTGTCTCCTGGCCTTCCTGGGCCTCTGGTGCCTCATTCAGCAGGGAGGATGGTGGACAGATAACTCTTAGGGTCTCTTGCCCCATTGGCATTCTGTGGGACTCAGAGATATGAGCTGGCACCTGTGGCCTTTGTCCCAGGCAGTGGCCGACCTGTGGCTGTGTCCTCTGTGGTCACTGAGGAAGGCTGGGCATCTTTCCCCTGAGCATCGAGCAGCCTGAAGCGTTTAAGGCCTTGGACTGTTGACCTGCTTGTCCTGCGCCCTGGCCTGTCAACATCAGCTGGAGGCGAAGGGGAAAGTTTTCTGGTCGAGCGGTTAGTCTCATAGGAGCAGAAAGAATGTGGCTTAATGTCTGATCAGGCATTGAGCTTTTCTGCTGGGCTTAGTTAAAAAGGACAGGATGGGAACGGCTGGAAGAAGTCATCTGCAACTTCATAAATAATTAGGCGAGCTTGTGTGTAGGTCTTGAGGATTATCTTGCATCTTACATTATCTTTTCGCATCTTACATTTGGTAGGATAAACTGGACCTTGCTTGAAAACAATATTTCCCTACAACTAAGATCCGCTTGATGAAAGCGAATTTGTGTTTCAGAAAAACACGACATTTATCAATCTCTTGCTTCAGGAGCCTGCTTCAGTGAAGGTGATAATCTTTTTGAATATTTATTGAGCGTGCAGAAGAGGGAAGGGGCAGGGCTTGGCAGGCAAATGCCTTCTGAAGGAAATGTACTTTGCCAATAGAAGCGCTGTATGGTGAGAAAAAGCATCAATTTAACGGGTCTTCCTAACCATCACCTTGTTCTTGGCAAGTTCATAAAGTATCCTTGTGTGGCAGAAAGAAAAGCCCTTCTTCTGGCTGGCTTTCTTTATGGCCTAGGAGGTCTAGCTAGCGTGCTGAGGTTCTGAATATTGATCGCCAACCTGGACCCAGCCTCACCGATGTACCTGGGAAGTCAGCAAAGACTAGATGGGCAAGGTAGAAGCACGGTGGTTAATAATCTGAACTTCAGTAAAGTGAAATACTTCCCGTGCTTGGAGTGAAGCCTCTTCCTTGTTGGGGAGACTTACCTTCTAAGTGATATATTTCACAAGGTTATATTTTCATACCTGGTGTAATCAGTTTCCCTTAGAGGAGAACACCTATAAATAGACTATCACCATGGGCTAGGTAAATCCCACAATGCACTTAATCTGCTCTCTGTTTACTGATTGCTCACCTGGCCTCCCACACATGCAACAACATAATTTCTCAGGGCCTTGTCTATTTTCTCCCTTAGGATCTGTCCACTCTAATCACTAGGACAGCAAGTTGGTGGTTGGAGGAGGAGCAGGGACCTTTTTTGGCAGTGAGCCACGTGTTCCTTCTCATCTTGCTTCTGAGTCCTGGTGTACCCTTCTTGAGGAGCGTGCCTTACACCCTCTGTGCTTTCCCACCCGGTCCAAAGACCAGTTTAAACTTGCCCCTTCTGCAAAATCCTGCCTGCTGATTTCCAAAAGCGACTCCTTGCTCTACAACACACAGGTCTACGCTTAAACCTTGTGCCTGCAGAATACACTGCTTCGCCATAGACATTTGTTGAGAGATCTAACTTTGTATTTTTTTTTTAAAGATTAGCACCTGAGCTAACAACTGTTGTCAATCTTCTTTTTTTTTTTTTCTGCTTTACCTTCCCAAACCCCCTGTACATAGTTGTATATCTTAGTTGCAGGTCCTTCTAGTTGTGGGATGTGGGACGCCACCTCAACGTGGCCTGACAGGCAGTGCCATGTCCAAGCCCAGGATCCGAACCCTGGGCCGCTGCAGCGGAGCGCGCGAACTTAACCACTCGGCCACGGAGCCAGCCCCTAACTTTGTATTTTTGACACTGTATATAATTACCTTTGACTGGATTTACCCTACAGGACTGCTGAATGCTCACTGATGCCATTCTTCAGGATGTAAGTTCCTTATAAGGAGCTGGCACGATGGCCAAGAAGATGCTACACATAGACAGATAATATGATAAATTATATGCTAATAAATGTGTAATAACAGATAAACATTTTGATGAGACTCAAAACAGCTCTGCACACCCTTGTTGAATTCTTTCATAATCTTTAACAGTTCTAGAAGCATGATAGGGTATGATTTTCTCAGTTAAGTAAAAAATCACGTAAAGTGTCACCCTTCCTATAAGGCACGGGTACTCACTCCAATATTATAAGTAGAGACGGGAGGAAGACCACCCATCTTTTCTGCTCTGTAGCTTTCTGCTTCTTTTAGGGATGGTTTTTGGAATGATGGTGGCATCTAGGTGACAGAGTTGGGACTGTAGGAGGAATTGTTTATTTCTAATCTCCTAGAAATTTTTTTTTCAGGGAGGACTTGATTTGGTTTTAATTAGTTGTTGATTTTTATTTTTCTTTCTATCCCTCGTCAAGATGCAAGGCAACCAAGGACAGGCATTGAACACATAGAAGGCTACAATTCAAATTTACCGGCATAAAAAAAGCCTGTGTCTTTTCTGATGGCAGAATCTAAGAAGAACGAGGAAGTCTTCCCTGAAATGGGCTGGAGCATAGAGCTACTTTCTCTCGTGTCCTCTCCTGCGTCCCTCTTGAGGAAACGGACACTCAGCCAGGATGGCAGGCAAGGACATTCTATCCTTCCAGGACCCTCTTACATGTTCCCCAAAGTGAATGCTCATTTCCCCTAAATGTATACACGCCTCACACTAGCCACTGTGGATAAAATTGAGTAAGTCACCTCATCTGGGTTTTCTTGAATTTTCTACAGGTTAAGGGAGACCCTATTTCTCCTCTACTCTCCTCTTACCTTTAAACAGTGGTCGATTTCATTAATAACTACGAAATGTTTACATGTCGCATGTGAGCAGGTCAACATTCCAAATTCTTTGTAACATCACCAACCAGACAGAAGACCTTTCTTCACCTCTCAGAATAAAATGATGTCCAGGGTCATAATTTCCTAGGAGACAACGCCAACCTGATTTAAACAACAGGGGGAAAGCTCATCTCTGTGTCATATTGTTTAAGCTTCTATCCACTAAGACAGAACAAGTGGATTTCTGAGAAAGGCGAGATGTAAAGTAATTTTATCATAAATGTATTTCTTAACCCGTTTTTCAGAGGAGGAAGTTGTAGTCAATAAAGACCCATCCCTCAGGCTTGATTGAGAACTGCCGCCTGGAATTGCCTCCCCCGCTTCTGGCGCCCACGCCCCTTCCGTCCTTACATTTCCACCGGGTGCCTGAACTTCACTTACAGTTGACTGCTCTTGGGTTATTCCACAAATCAGAAAGTCGGGCTTAAAAAATTTGAAGCCCCATCATTTAACTACGAACCGTCATCCCGAGGTTCTGAAACCACCAGGGCATCAGGACACTTTCATTAACAAAACAAATGAGACAAAATAAATAAATAAATAAGGTCTTTAAGTGTTTTATTCTGTTGATTCTTCATAGTGCAACGAAACAAAGTTAGAGATAAAATGCCAGTTAAATTCGGCAACTACCAACAACCAAAAACCTTAAACAAAAAATTCAAAGTAAGCTGCTGAAAGAGCGTGAAATAATCTTGGCTGGAGTAATTCGTTAACAAATCAGGACCGGTCATCTATGTAGTTGTTCATTGCAAAGCGGCGAGAACACCTGCCCGGCGCGCTGGTCAAGGACCAGGTACAGGAAGAGACCACGCAGCGAGCGCCATCCCGCCGTCGCCACCGCAGGGGGACCCGCCAGAGGTTTGGGGCTCCCGGTCCCCCTCCGCGTCTTTTAATGAGACAGATGGATAATTAGCGATCACGCTTTCTGACGAGTCGGAGACTGCGAAGTGCCTTGTTACCTATTTTAGTAAACCGGGAACACCGCCTGCGTGAAAGGTGGTGGCTGTTTTTAAGCAAGCTCAAACGCGGGTTCGGCTACCTTTGGGGCAGGGGGACAGACCGGTGAATCTCGAGTTCTGAACTATCTTTCTAAGGAGGCCCCAGGATTTGAGAGCGAATCATTTCCGCAACAAAACACCTGGTTATGCGATTCTCAAAAATTGCACTCTTAACAGCCGGGGTACAAAAGCGGACTTCCCAACCCAGCACACCCAACGACCCAGGAGTTGTCATCGCCCCCTCCCGCGGCACCGCGGTGCCAACCGTCCGGCCGCCGAGGATCTGTCAGTCTGCTGCGCTCAGGACAATCTGCACTGATTACTGGTCTTTCCCGGCTTCCGGAGGTCGGGCAGCCTCCTGTGACAGGGTTTGGCTGGTGGGAACAGGGCCATCCGTGAACTCTGGCCGAGGAGAAGGAAACACCGTCCCCTCGTCCCTCCCCCCCACCACCCCGCCCTCGGAGAGCAGCCCGTTGGTCCCCTGGCTCTGCAGGTGTCGCCTCCGTGAGCAGTGGCGCTGGGGCTGGCCTCCCGCCGCGCCCAGAGCGAGCCAAACCCAGCTCAAGGCGCCCTAAAATCCACACTGCTAAGCGCACAACTCTGGGGCCCGGTAGACACGCGCTACGGAAGAACGGGGATCAGAGCGCGCCTCTGCCGCCCAAAGCTGCTAGAATCCACCCAGAAGCCCAAACAGCCCCGATGCTCCCTCGAACATCCGCTCAGATCACTTTAGTTTCCCCGGGGTGGGGGTGGGGAAGGGGGCGCACACAGTCCCTTTCTCTGGGCGAGAAGGTTCGAAATGCCCTCCTTGCTCGTCCCCGCTCTCCCGGGGCGCCTAGCGAGGGGGCGCAGAGAAGCTGGGCGCCGGGAGGACGGGCCGAGATCGCGCCCCGGGCCCCGGCAGGCCCTCACTTGGAGAACTGCGCCTGCACGGCGGCCAGGCCTAGGCCGGCCGGCACCAGGTGCGGGAACTTGCAGACGGCGCAGGTGCAGAGGCCGGGGCCGCCCGCGCCGCCGCCGGGGAGCGCGAACTGGCCGCACGGCGGCTCATCGAGCGCCAGCGACAGGTACTTGGCGGGGCGCAGCGCGTCGGGGGGCCCCATGGCGCCGGGCGCCAGCAGCACAGAGCCGGGCGCGGCGGCGAGCAGGGGCAGGCCGGCCAGCAGCAGGCGCGGAGCAGCGGGTCCCGCGCCCTCGCCGAGCGCGCGGCGCAGCTCCTGCAGCGAGCTGCCCAGCAGCAGGATGTAGTTGCGGGCGAGCAGGAGCGTGGCGATCTTGGAGAGCTTGCGGCCGGGAGCGCCCTGGCAGTGCGCGGCCGAGTAGGGCAGGATGACCTCCCGCAGCGCGTCCATGGCCAGGTTCAGGTCCTGCATGCGCTTCCGCTCGCGGCTGTTGATTTTGCGCCGCAGCTGCTGTTGCTGCTCCTCTTTGGCGTCCGCCCGGGAGCCGCCGCCCGCGTGAGCACCGGGCCCGGGTCCCGTGCCGGGCGGCTCGGCGTGCGCCTCCGGCTTCTCGCGCGCCGCCTTGGGGAGCAGGGGGGCCGTCGTGGAGGAGGAGGCAGTGGAGGAGGCGGAGGGTGGCTGCCGGTAGCCCACCAGCTCGTACAGGGAGGCCCCGAGCTGCACGTCCCCCGGCCGCTGTGGCCGCAGCATGGTCGTGGGGGCCGCGTTCACGCGCGCCTGGGAAACCGCATAGTACATCTGGGGGGCGGTGGGGGCGGCCGAGGGCGCCCTTCAGGAACGCCCCGGGGTGGGCCCTTCGGCAGGCCGCCCCTCCCCGCGGACCTGCGCGCTGGGAGCTGATGGCAGGGCAGCTGCTGCGCCCGACCCCTTTAAACCCGGCTTGGGAACCTGCGGGGCCGCGCGCGGCTGGGCGCAGCCAATGGGGGCGCGAGGCCGGGCGCAGGCGCGTGCTCATTGGCCGCCCGCGCCTCAGGCCGGCGCCGAGCTACCGCTGGCACCGCTCAAGGAGGTTATTGTGAGCGCCCGTGGGAGTGTCGCAGGACCGGCCCGGGAGGGAGGGGGGAACGGCGCTTATTTGGGCGAAGTGCGGTTGTTTTTGGAGGCCTGGTTGATTTGGTGAGGCTAAAACTCATGTGCCTGCCTCCTCCTCTCGGCTTCTTCTTCTTTGTATACATATACATATTTGCTTGATTTAAATATATGTGTCTCAAATACACATAACATAAAACTTACCATCTTAACCATTTTTAAGTGTAGAGTTCGTTAGTGTTAAGCGTGCTCACACTGTTATGCAGCCAGTGCGCAGAACTCGGTTCATCTTGCAAAACTGAAACTCTGTGCTCGTTAAACAATTCTCCATCACCGCTTCGCCCAGCAACTCCTGGCAACCGCCATTCTCCGGTCTATGACTCTGACGACTCTAGGTACCTCCTGTAAGTGGAACCCTGCAGTATTTGTTTTTTTGGTGATAGGCTTATTTCATTTAGCACAATGTCCTCCAGCTTCATCCCTGCTGTAGCATGGGTCAAGATTTCCTTTCTTTTTAAGGCTGAATAATACTCCATTGCATGTATATGCCACATTTTGTTTACCCCTTCCTCCAAGGGTGGACACATGGGTTGCTTCCACCTTTTGGCTATTGCGAGTAATGCTGCTACGATCATGAGTGTAAAATGTTTTTCTAAAATATGTGATTTCCTGCCGGCTTTTGAGAGCTAAATTTCTGGGCTCAATGACTGTAGCATTAGAATGGCTACTCCCTGCCGGTCCCTCTCTCTTCTCTTTTGATTAAAAGGTCTTTAGAGACTAAGGAGTTTCGGGGTCGGGTTTCCTTCCTCCCCAGAAGGGACATGTGTTCATTCTGTCAGTGGTTGACTCTTCTTACTGAAGCAAAAACTCACGCTGAAATTGGCCTCTTATCAGGGAAAACAAACAAAAAATCACTCACACACTCATATCTGTTAAGGGTGGGACTGAACATTTCTCTTCCCCAAATAAAATAGCATTACTTGGTGGCTATGGAAGTTTTCTACCCTAACACCAGGCTTGTCGTCGTCTCATGGCAAAATGGAATGGGGAAGGGGGTCTTTTGGTACCTAACCCTCTACCACCCAATACAGTAGCCACTAACCACCTGTGACTATTAAAAATTAATTAATTAAAATAAAATCAAGTTAGAAATTTAGTTCCCCAGCTGTGTTAGCATTGCTTCAGGTGCTTAGGATTTCCAGGTGGCTAGTGGCCATCTATTTGGCAGCAGAGACAACATTTCCGTCATCGCAGAAAGTTCTATTGCACAGCACTGATGTTGAGTGTAACAGAAAGAAAATGAGCTTCTCCAGCTTGGTCCTCTTCAGTATAAGAAGAAGGATGCTATGGCAGGACCTGTCCCCCATGGGAACTGATTTCAGCTCCAGGAGCCCGTTGGCTGTGCCTGCTGGTTTCAGGGCTGCTTCATTCTTGTTTCCTTCCACGAGTGTTCACCCCAGAGGCTCACTCTGATCTCTGCTTCCGACCTCCAGCTCTGCCTATAACATCCTGCCCTTGGCTCAGGTTCATATCCAACATGACTTTCTTCTCAAAGCCTTGATGATTTCTCACCTTCTTCTTCCTCTCATCACGCTCAGCAAACTGTTGATCGCATTTTCCCAGAGCCTGGATTGTGTTACGTGGAGATCGTCTCCACATTTGGTTGTGATTGTTTTGAGGGCGGGGACCACCTGTTCATTTCTGCATCTTCCCAAAGTGCAGCACAGTGCTTTGCAACTACTGTGTGTCCAGGGGGTGTCTGAGGACGGGTCTGAAATCTCCACCAGTTCACAGCTTATCCCTTGAAATGTGCAAACTCCCAATAGTGCTTTAACCCAAGAGTTCCCTATAGGTTTCACAGAGAGGGAAGGAACGTGGTAGGACCCCCTGACTCTCAGGGGGCCCTGTCTTGACATGATTCACTTGGGGAGAGAGAAAGAGGTCTCGGCGGGAAGGAGCTGAGACCCCAAGCAGAACCTTACTATGCAGGAAGGAGAGAGATCAAGGAAATCACCTTGAAAGTTTCAAGCAGGTGAGTTTAACACCTTTCTAATCAATTTCACCTTTTGTTAAAGCATTCTGGTTTTCAAAGCATTTTTACAGACATTTGGTTCTCATACGAACCCTGTGAGCTGGGCATTTTTCTATCCCTGCTGTCAATGGTGAAACCGAGGCTCCTGGAAGGTGGAGGATTTCTGGGGTTGATAGTGTGCCTTCAGACAAGAGGCAGAGCTGCACCACGAGTGGCCAGTTTTCGGAATTCCCTGCAGCTGGACCAGGCTTCCAGGAAGCTGAGGAGGGGACCATGATGGGGAGGGTTAGGGACTGGGTGAAAGGATGGAGGGGCCTGCCTAGGCCAAGCCAGTATTGACGAGTTGATGGGTTCTAGCCGTGTCCTGAAAGAGAGGGTTCCTAGGATCCCACCTCCATGAATCCTGCACCAGCCTCTTCTGGCAATGCCCACCTCATCCTGAGGACCCCTCAGTCCTGTAGCTGAGGTGCCAGATTGGGGCAGGCCCCAGCGACCTCCCCCTCTGGCTTCCTTCTCTGCCCACACCCTAGGCAGGAGCCCTGGGGCCTTACCCTGCCAGCAGGAAGAGGAAGAGAATGAGAAAGACGGAAGCTAAACCTGGGACAGAGGGGCCCAAATGGCACGCCGTACGTTTCCCATCCACTGGCAGGGGTGCCCCAGAAATCAGAGATGGAAATGTGCATGCTTCTCTTCCCCCCAACAAGTGCCCCTGTTTACTGAGGGTGTCCCCGAGGGTTCCTTTAGACCGTGACCTCTCTGCATCCCCTTCTGCAGAAGAACTCCTCCCTTCCCCAGGCCAAGGACACTGTCAGTTGGATACACTGGCCAGTGTGTACTGAAGTGCTCTTGGTGGAGCCCCAGAAGAAGGCTCCGGGTGGCCGTGTGGACCCAGCATGGGCACAGGATTCGGTGCTTGTGGAAGCTGGTGACTTGGATGGCCCCTTCTGCTGGACCGGAGCTCCAGCAGCATGCAAAGTGTGACAGCTGGCAAGGGCCGGCAAGTCATTATAGCCCCTGGCAGGGGCCCTATGGGCTGTCTCAAGAGAGGCAGCTGCCGTGGCCTCCCACATTCAGGACATACTTGGGGAGCAACTTGCGTCCGCCATAACAACCACTCTTGTCTTTGCCCAAAGGGGCTTGTGTGTGTGTGTGTTAGTGACTCCTTTCTCCCCAAGGAGGTGTGTGTGGCAGGCTTCCTTTTCCTTGCATAGAAACCTAAAGTGTCTCCCACCCATTCTCCCAACTCTGCCGCCCACCCCTGCTTTGGGTCAAGAAGCTCAAACTTTTGAAATGGCAGACAATGGGGACTCGAAGCGGCGGGGAGTGTGTGAGGGGAACGTGGCTTTTGGGTGGAGCACCGTCCGCCTCCTCTGTGAGCACAGAGAGGCTGTGCTGCTGCAAAGCTTGGCCACCGCTCAAAGCCCCCTGTTGTCACTTGAGACACTCTCCTCTTGCAGAAGACCAGCTAAGTGTGAAAGGCTGTCTTTGCTAAAATGTGCTGTCGAAACTGTCTGGAGCTTGGACCAGTAAGGAAATAATGGCATTTACTTTTTAAAATGCTACTTTCTTCTAAGAAGGGCAAAATTCTGTGGAAAGTTCCACTTACCCAAGAGTGTTGAAATTCATGCCATTGCTATGAGAAGCGGCAGCCACATCCAACATTTGTTCTATATTAGCTTCTCCGATCTGATCCAAATATAACTCTGCCTGGAGCACAGAAGAAGGAGCTGAAGAGAGAGGGCGACTTAGCTGCTCCTAGGGAGAAGGTAGGAGTAGCAGAGAGAGAAAAAGAGGGCAGGGTGGGTTCCCCTTTGGTAAGTGGGCTTGGATGGAGCAGAACTCCTTACAGATATTTGGTCCTCTGTCACCTGGGGAGCATCTCAGCAGAATCTCAGTCACGCTTAGAGACAGTTCAGGTTAAATAAAGATCCCTGCTGGGAAAATTTGAAAGAATATGAATTTTGTTCCTTTTCAAAAGGGAGAACAAATTAATCAAGTCATCAGGAACTGGTATGATGTTTCTGTTTATTTACAATGTTGTTTTAAAGCTATATAATTGTCACAGTTGTCCTTATTTCCAGTGTGTTAGGGCCTAGGCAGTAATATGGTGTTCTCTGATCTGGTTAAAACACTAAAGATTGTCAAATGTAGTTGGTGTGTTTTACAAACATTATAGGAAGGTGGATTCTATTTTATTTTAAATAAATGTGTTTTGGACCAGATTTAAATAAAGTTTATTACTTAAAGTATTTCTAAGTCCAAATTTGTCCTGTGACTTATTTTTTTGGTGGAAAAAAAAGTTAAAAGGGAAGAAAAACGGGAAAAGAAATTAGATGGCATCTGGGTATTTTTTCAGATTCCTTATAATAACAACAGCTTGATTTGGCTATTGGTGACATAACTCAGACAGAGGGCATATTCTTCCCCCCCCAAACTTGGGGTGCCCTAAGAGAAGAAGAAATTTTTGTTGCTTCAGTGGGTACCAAATTCTGAAATTCTACATGTTACTAGAGCTGTAAAAGAATCCATTTTAATACCCCTCATTGTATTTCTGAAAAGGACTCTTCTTTAAAGGAAAGTTCAAATAATCATTGTGAAAAACATTATAAAAAGAGAAGTACAGGGGCTGGCCCTGAGGCCTAGTAGTTAAGTTCAGCATGCTCTGCTATGGTGGCCTGGGTTTAGTTCCCCGTGTGAGGACCTACACCACTTGTTGGCAGCCATGCTGTGGTGGCGACCCACATATAAAATGGAGGAAGATTGGCACAGGTGTTAGCTCAGGGTGAGTCTTCCTCAGCAAA